TTGGATATTGTTGTTCCGTTCAGTGTTGTATTAATACGCTAAGAATTGTTTCCCGTGCTGCATGGTAATTAAAGTCCTATCAACAACACAGCTTTCAAAGACTCTATAGTGACAATGCCATGCAAATGTAAATATATATACATGTATTCTTCCGTGGTGGCTTTAAACATAGCTAAGCCGGACCTTTAAAGCAATATATAAATAAGTTTAACATAATCTTTTTAACATGGAAGTATTACACTGGTCATTGATGTGCTTCACAGTCGACTCCTTAATAAGTTCGTACGGATATTCACATCGCTCCGGAAGCTTGGAATTTTATAAAAGTATAACTTGTCAACAAGGGAAATGATGGCATTGACATCGATACTTTTCTTTACCACAAGTCCATCAAAACTATCATACTATCGCACTTTAAAGATATCCCGATCATTCCTTGTTTGTTTTCTAAATCCATTGCAACGAAGTGTTTTAAACACATGTAAACACTTCGACAGCTGAAATACATTGTATTAGAATAACTCATTATTCCAATAAAGGTCAAGGATTAACCAAATGGTGTGCATCTGCTGTTACCCACTGCAGCTTGCTTGGGTAAACTACCTTCTACAGATTTTGGATTATCTTTTGTTCCCTCTACTTGGTGAAACAAAAGCGACCAAATTGAATCTGCTTCACTCATTTTAAACTCTTTGTTCTCTATTTTTTCGACTGCTTTTTTCCCCGTAATACCTTGGCTATATTTCCCTTTTTTCTTTTGTGTTGAGCATCCGACCAAGCGAGGTAGTAATATCTTTCACAGAAATATCAATTGTCAGAGCAAGTCCATGACTATCGAATGGTAAGAAAAGTAGGAATGTTTCTATCAATAAACGAAAACCACGACAGAAAATCAAAATTGTCACGCAGAAGAGTATAAACACGAACTAGAAGAAATGAAGTTAAAATATGTCTCACCTGAAAGCTTTGCTATAATTGTTATTTTGACATCTGTCAAACTTTTAAATGTAGGTTTTATAAAGTCTTCCGTCAGTTGAGCAGACAGACTTGCTAGCCCAGATGATAGTGTGCTGAAACAAAGATTGTTGCAGAAATGTATATATAGTGACCTTTCTATATTTGCTATTTGCTTGTCTACGTCGTGAATGAAAACGTCCGAGCCACATACAGATATTTTTCTTTTGAATGTTGCTAGTGACACCTTAGAATGACGTGAAGATACCGTACGTAACTTTATACATGTACCTTTTATAAAAAAAAGAACCTTTGGTGACACTCTTTGTACAATTCATTTAATACACGGCTCGCTCGTTATCTTTTATAAACTTTCCCGGAATGTTTAACAAGTCTGTGTATAATTATGACGGTAACAAAAAACGTGTCAATTGTGTCAAATGTCAAAATGTATTGTTATACATTGTTAAATGAAGAAGTACAGAAAATATCTAAGTGCATAATATTTAATGGAAAACACAGATACGGACCTAAAACAGCACCAGATTAATAGGTTGTCGTAATAAATTGTGTCCATGGAACTAATGTTTAATATTGATACTCGTGCTCATCATTAAAATATTCATAAAACAAAAATAACAAAATGCACCTTTTGTAATATAATTCCATGAAGATCTTTATAAAATAATATGTATATTTATGACAAGAAGTTGACCTATAAACTAGGAATATATTTATTTATCACTCATTTAAGTAGAATAAATCTGCTTGATCATGCTTAACAGCCCCCCGACACAAGGAGGGGATTTTGGGCCCTAACCGTCAGCAAAAAATTGTTTTAGATTTATATAGTGTACATACTTAATACTCGTCATAGGGTTAAAGCTCGAAATATCTCATCGACCTACCAGTACTTTGAATTTTTTATACTTTAAAATTTAAGAGCACGTCATTCCTCTTTTTTCTTTAAATTTTCAATAAAAATACTTGCATTTATATTCAATCATCCTTATACTGTCATTGACATTGTAGGAATTTGCTTGCTTCTGTCCATGATGTCTGGTGCAGAAGATCATTCTTCTTTCCATCTCGAATTTTGAAGTTTTATTATTTCTATTGGTCGCACTTGCAGCTTTTAAAGAGTTAAATTAAATATTTACCTTAGAGACGCACTAAATAGCGAGGCCAAGAAGAGACCAGACATGCCTGGCAGAGTTTTGAAAATGTCCAGCACCATGAAAGGAATCACCTTGATACAAAAAAACAACATCCAACAATATAGCAAAGCATCTACCATATGCTGGAAACTAATTTCAACGTTATAAAGTGACATTTTTATATTTTGCTTACGCGTTAGGATTAACAGATGTCAATAAATACCTGGTTTGAATTGGTGATTTGTTTAGACGCTAACGGATCACATCCTTTAGAATGAAAGTAAGCGTAGGCGATGATTCCCTCAAACGCTGCTAATGACATGGTAAACGTGAAGGCAGGGCCAGCAAATAAAAGAACTCTGTTATAAAGAAAACCATAAAAAAACAATATTTTAGTGACAGAAATATCTAGAATTTTAGTCGATTACAGAAACATACTCATTAGTTGTCGAAAGAACGTAATATCAGTATAAAGATTGTTTTGTTGAATTTGGGAAAAAAATTAAGCTAAATTTTGTAATGACTGTCAATTTATCCTGTTATAGATCTAGTTTGATGGACGTGCTTTATTAATGTATAATATATATTTGACGCGCGTTATGATTAGTTTGTCTACAATCCTGTGAGAATTATAGGACAATAACTTTCCAAGGAAGGCAGTTTGGTGCTTTAATATAATATATAGATAAATCGTAACCATGTATCAGAATTTCAATATCTGACACATCGTACACATGTAATAGACGTAATTGAAGACACATGCCAATCATGTATCTTAGCGGGACAGTATTAACTAACTTGTTGGCAGCACGTTGTGTAGGCATGGAGCTGATCCTC